ACCGAGGACTGCTGCCCTAATTTATCAGCACCAGAGGGAGTCTTTATTTTATAGAGCAATTTTATGTCTCAATTACAGGTTGGTGTCAGTTTTGTGGGATGGGATGAGGACACGGCCTTTAAACTTGAGCAAATGTTGACATGCAGTATACTCTGGTGGTTAAATGTAGTACTGCATGCTTTGGGTGTGTATCCTCATGATACAGTTGCGCCTTGTAGTGTTTCTCTTCTGCCACCAGAGAGCGCTGTTGTTTTAGACAAAAAAAATACTGATCCTCCTGTGACTCAAAGGAGGTTTTCCATCAAACAGAGCTGTAGACTCACAATGAGTCTATTTATTGACAAAGCCCTTGGAAGTCTGAATGGGCCTGGGTCCCAGTCTGACACTTCATGGACTAAATTTGGGTCCTAATCTGACAAAATGTTGAGAAACCTCTTTAACATTTGCGGTAGGCCGACTTAATTATGGGCTCTATGTTCCAGTGCAGGTAAATTTCCCGACCTTCAGCTTTTATTGCCCATGACTTTGACTTTAACTTATATTGGTGGTTTAGTGCTGCCGGTTCCTTGGCAAGTGCTGCCAGGAAGTGTTCTGTTCTTCCCGTTGGAAAAGGAGCGTCAGACTGATACGAGCTGCTTTTGTCTGATTATTTGCTCTTAAAATCAAACATGAGTGGTGATAACAGTGTTAATTTACACTGATACGGACACATTAGCCTTTATTTCCACCCATGAGCCTTTCAGGGAATCAGTTTATGGCGGCCAAAACCAACATTCCTACATCGCATATCTGCAGAGGTGTCAGTCAAACAAGGCGGTGTTGTCTTTTGTTCTGATTTATTCCTGAACAGGGGGTGATACAGTGAACAGTTGCACCTTCTCCAACTATTACAGCCTTAGAGGAGGAAAACATGTGTCTTTATGCTTATCAATCAGATGAAACCTTTTCCTGGCAGATTTGTAATGCCTGTACAACAGCTATAACACTTAAGAAAAGGAAAACAGTGTTATTTGATTGCAGAACTACAGCCTTGAGTGGGCAAATGTGTATTACAAAAAGGTCATTCATACCCAGCTTCAGGTTGTAGTAAGCATCAATATCTACATTGTGGTTAATTTGCAATAGTTCATGTTGCAGTGGTGTACGACTCTAACAAAGTCCTGGTACGATACTGAAAGTTGTATTATCCTTAAAATGTTGTAGCTCGCCTGTTTTTCTCTCCTCTTCCTCCCAACTTTCTGTTTCCTGAGTGACTGATAAGAATAAAAAGTAGTAATATATAATATTGTAATATATATCTTTTATCACTTACAGTCCTGCAGCTATTAATCAAAATTCAGTAATTCGTTTTGTATGGTTCCCATCATGATATTTAGATACTGTATTAGAAATAACAAGAGAAATGGTCAATTTATCAATCAATGGTATAATACCTTCATCTGACTTTTCTGCTCTTCTTCAAATCCACAGTTTTAAAATGTCAACATTTTCAAAATAGAGCTCCATTTCGATGCAATGTGGAAGAATGTTTGTTATATGATGTTATTATAATATATATAATTATTTCATCACATAATCTAGTGAAAGGACTAAATCGCTTTGGAGGAGAGACTTGTCAATCAAACTAAATTGGGACAATTCAAGTAAATTCAATTGGCCGTGAAACTTTTTTTAATAAGTTTTCATACAATTTTATTGACACTTATTTCACCCTCATTATTAAGCTGATTCAATTTGGTCTCCGCAGTGTGCATTAAATATAAATTACACACTGTCTTCTTTGTACCTTTTTCATCCTCTAAAAATAACGTATTTTGCTCATTTAAAGGGCCAAAAAGCCGGAAAGGTTGGGAAACACTAACTTATGATAATAGCCTTGTAATTCCTCGACACTCTTTCTCTAACCGTGTCCTCTGCTGCCAAGGCCCCCTGCTCTTCACTTTGCCTCAGTCCCAACTTCCCTGATTTATATGTATGCAAGTCTTTGTGCTCTGTAATCCAGCAGATGGAAGTCTGTGGGCTGCAGATGTCTGTGCAAAGCTTAGTGTAACTCATGTTTCATCTTTTGCCTCACAATGATGCAATGATTGCAAACGTAAATTCTTGTTATTGAGATTATCTTCCCATAAATTCTCCATTCATAGAGAGAGTGACAGAGTTTTCTGGTTGCCTAATGGTCCACTTTGTGCGCCATCCTTGACCCCTTCTACTCCCTTTCTTTACTTTTACCCTCAGGGTCAACAGGTCATAGATGTGCACTCACAGCCCTGCTCTGGGTCAGCTGGAATCTCTCAGATCCATCAGAAGACCCTAAAAGCATCACACAGAGCTGCAGTTAGCGCCACAATTTGACCAGAGCCCCCCCCCCCCCCCCCCCCATCACCATCACAACCAGAGCAAGCCGAGCCCTCAGACTGCATGCTTGTCAAAGAGCTCATTCACACCCCTCAGCACAGTTTGAGACTCAGAGAGGAACATGGGGATTTATTGGACCTCTGTGCCATTCTAAGATTGTGCAGCATTAGACCCAGCTCTAAGAAAGATGCTTGGTTCTTCACCTTCCCGCAGACCTCAACCCAAATCAGTGCCACACGCCCAGATCTGCCTTCCTGTGTGTGAAAAACAACACAGAGACCATCCCACCGACTCCCACCGCTGCCCTCAGCCTACCTCTATGTGCCCAGCAAGTCACGCTTAAATGACTAGCCAGCCTTTACATGCAGGAGCTCTCACTCTCCCCACAAATCCCCCTGAACATGATACACATGGAACGCAAAGCAAGCATTTTATGAATATGCGTCTGTGTGCAGCTGTGTCGCGGTGCTCAAAAACACTTTCTGGGTGTTATGTTTGAGAAGTAGCTCAGTCAGAAACCCTCTCTTTAAACCGTGGTACATTTCATTTAAGTTTTGACAAAGTCTTCCAATTAGGATGTGGATTTTTATGGTGTTTTAACCAGAGATGTAGTCTTTGATGTTCTTTGAAATTGCTCCTCACACATGTAGAGTAAAAAATAAACTTTATCGAAACTTAAATATCAATAAAGTTTGTTGAAATGTTAGTTTTCCTTCCTCATTTTTTGGGGTCCAACAGACCACACTGCTATATATGTACGTATACTATTGCTAATAATTGCAAAGTTGACCAAAGTTTGTTTTCTTTTTTGCATAACCCTTCTCATTGGCTTGCACATTTAATGAAAGTGATGAAATACAGAAATGAAAGCATTGTCACTAAACCAAAAAAGGAAATACCTGATGTTTTATCTGTTACATGGGCTATGAACAAATGTAGAACACATTTTGTCTGTCAAAAAGTCAAAGAAATGTACAGTGTGTTCCTCCACATAGTGGTAGAACCCATAACGCTCCCATTCCCTCTTAAACTCTTATTAAACTTCAGATAAGGTTGTGAAGCATTCAGGCAATCAAACAATATTAAATTTGTTTGTAAAGGGCAAAGGCTTCAAATCCTTGAAATATTGACTCTATTATGCCAGCGTGACAGAAGACTCACAGTGGATGTATGTAGTGTTTGGGTATCTATCTTAAATCACAAAACAAAAAGCATTTTATTTTAAAGCCATCGTGGCTATTAGTCTCAAGTTTGTCGCATCAATAAAACGTTCAGAGATTAAAACTAAATGCAAGAGACAATGAGCCCACTGCTACTTAAACGCCATCCTAAAGTCATCAAGCTATTTATCGCTGCTCATTTGTGCACCTGTGTCTTGCAAAAACTATTACCTCTACGCTATAATTAAGGCAATAATTCCACTTTTCTACACGTCTTGTGGATTAAAGTGGGTGTTGTCAATAGCAGCGTTGCCGTGCTTTCTACTCTGATGCCTATGAGGGGAGGGCTTTGGTGGGAGCAGGGAGTGTTTGGGATCTGTTGTACAGTAATTGGGTGTAAAACAGGTGGCACACTGTTGACACTGGAGAGAAGCATGTGAAAAATGTGCTGCTGCCATGCAATCACAAAAGGAAAAGGCTGGCAGTTGACTTAGGCATTTAATCACTGTGTTGGGTGATAAATAGAGGATCAAACGGAGGCATGGAAAGCGTAGAATAACAGGGAGAGCCACCTAAAGCTCCACAGAGGGATTCCTGGTGGAGCCAGGCCAAGGCACTGACAGAGCTGGTGGCTGGTTATTACTCTGACTTTGAGGTATAGAGGTATAAGCGAACAGGAAGCTGAGAATTCAGTGGCTCAATAGGCTCTTAATGTCTGAACGAACAATCCTCCCTTGTTGTTTTCTGGAGTCATTATGTTCTTCCAGACATACATTTCTTTGGTACCGGTCAAGTTTGGTTAATATTTTTTTTAAAAAGTTGGACAACAAGATGCTCATTGGCTTTAGTGCATTGTCAATTTATTACAAAAGTACATCAGGTACATTACCAATGTGAACTCAGTGTGCATCATGTGTATGCAGATGGACCAGTAGACATTTGACAGTTTTTTTTATCAAAAGCAGAAAAGAGCTGAATGTCTTCTTCAAAGGACCTGATCATGAGCACACCTGAAGAATAAAGCCTGTTGTTCTGGAGAGAACAAGAGTTACCTGATACAGTTCATGTCTCCACGCAAAACTTTACGCATTACTTAAAAGTCTGATTTTCCATTTCAAAAAATCCCATTCCGTGAATGAAAATGTGTTCTCGGCTCACTATAGATTATCCCTTGAGCACACAGTGCGCACCAGTGATCAGGGATCCAGTTACCAACTTCGCCAACACCGGGCCACGTGACTCAGGTCCTCCTCATTTAAAAAAAAAAGAAGAAAAAGAGGTGGCAAATGTTCCCCCTGTGCCAGATGATCGACTTTAGCACCTGAAGTGTCAGAGGGACAACTGCTGCAGAGTGCACCGCGACAGAGTAAAGTGACTTTGCTGATGGTGCGCTGGACCGACTCAATCACATTTCCTCTCTGAGAAGTTTGCGTGCATCCTTCAAAGTAGCCTATGTGTCCCGTCTTTGAGCCGCTTTGCTTGAGGATGGTACCGGACCGTAGGAGCGCATTTCGCAGCTCCGTCTTACTGGCTGGTGTGATAATCTGCAGCAACGTGCTATGTCCCATCGGTGCCTATCTCTACAACAACCGCTACGCAGGGTGAGTAAAAGACCCCCATTCATTTCTGGGGCTCACGAGAGGCGGGTGTACTCTCGTTCTGCAGGGAAGGCGCACTGTCGCTATCAGAAGTTTTTTTTTCTGCAGAGACATCTACGCACCAAGACACGGGCTTTATCTCATGTTGATAGTAGAATGAACAAAGAAAGTCTTTATGGGACACATCTCCTGTTTGAGACATAATATAATGTTTTTAGTTTATTCTAGGCTGACCTTGTTGTCTGTGCTGTGTTTGTTGTGATGTGCTGCAGAGAGGCATTCTGGTTGCTTCGCAGATGACACCGGGGATGCCTGCAGCAAGTGTCCTGTCAAACTGCGCAAAAAAATATTAAAAAAAATATTAGAGCTTTAAGAAAGTAGTGACTCCCAATTTTCGTTTTTCTAAAATCAGACGAGAGGAGATATTTGGCTTTTTTTTTGTCAAAAGGCTGTCAGTCTGTCTGCACGTTTATGAGTCTGAATGTGAGGCACACACCTCCCCAAATAGACCCTAAAAGTAGCTGGTAGCCAAACAGAGGGTCTCCAGGGACCACCTGGAGCTGCACTCATATAATAATTTCGGGTAAACATGTCAGAGACATGACTGGGGCATGGATGGGTTTATGGTCTGTTTTTCAAAAGAGCATTTGATGTAATTGCAGAGTGGGACCACCGCAACTGGAAACCCCCTCCTCTGTCTCAAAAAACATGTATTTTGGATATAATCCAAAATTTGTGTCCCTCACGCCACCTCTGGACTGACATTAAAAGTTCCAATATATAGCACTAAGGGGGGGCCCTGATTCTCTCAGACATCAGGGATGTGGTGCGTGTTGTTCACCTCAGCTTCACAATGAGCCTTCAGTCTAAAAAAGAAGACTTACATTGTCAAAACATTTCATATCATTCAGTAACAGAGAATTTTTGAACATGGACAAATGTTGATTGCACTAAATCAAAACACTGCTCGAGAGTCAAGTTCTTGGTTTAAAACAAATTGCTTCCATCCCAGAGAGAGTACCGCTGTGGGAATCAACAGACTGACAACTGAAGGGCGGGCGGCTTTAGCGCAGAGAGCCCTCCCCGCAGCTGGCAGATTCAAAGCCAAAGGCCAGGCCAACAGTGTAACAACAACAGTCTGAGAATCACTGTAAGATGAAGAAATGCTTCAAGTTGGACTACAGTAGAGCTCTGGGGTGCCACGTTATTCAATCATGGACTGTGTGTGGTGCTGTATGCACTGGTGGAAAGAAAAAACCCAGAAAACATAAGCCCGACAAACATCCATCAGTGAGGATTGACTGAAGACGTGGAAGCACATATTTCTCTTATGTTTCAGACAAAGAGAATATTTACTACGATCATGTTTTTGAAGTTTGAAATCTGCCCCCCCCCCCCCCGCCCAATTTCTATCACATCCAAACATTATTCTTACCTCCCAAAAACATGTCCGCTTTGAAGTCCATCTTCTATCACGCCGTTGCCGTGGAAACCGGCTGTTTTCCTGGGCACAGTGTTGTGGTCACTGAAACGGGGCGGCCACTCACTTGGGACACCCGCACCCCCTTTTTGTTCCTCAAACCTCAGAGTGGCCGACCGCCACCTTTGTTTAGGGGGCCCGACTTCCTGTGTGACACATTGTAAAAAGCTCTTTGAAATAGGCGAAACATGAGAGAGGAAGAAAGAGGTTTAAAAAAAACACACGAGACATGAAAGTGAACACATATACAACCTCTGCCAGGTATACTGGGCCGAGAGTCTGTAATTGAGAGAGAGTAATAAATTATTGGCAGCGTGTTAGCTTTAAGGTCAACCGCAGGAACTGTGATCTGCACAGTGAAAGCAGCTCTATGTTAGATTCATGCCGAGTATAAAGAGCATCTTTGTTTTAATATAAAAGATGTGGCTGCAGATTGAGTTAGAAAGGCTCTCGAGCCGCTCTATTTGCTGAAGTGTTTGTTTAAATGATCTGCCAAGACCAACACGTGAAGAATTAAATTGACTGTGTAGTGATTTTTATATCGACTTATAACTAATTCCATGAATGTATTCTTAGGGCTCGGCAATATGGCCAAAATATTCTATCCTGATATGAGTCATTTCATGTCTCCATAACAATATGCATCAAAATATAGCATGTTTTCTGATTCAATTAATAGAATAGAATGTTTTGCATACTTGTGTGTGAATGAAATACTTGATAAATAAAAAGTACTGGGTGTTATCTTATTATATTAGTAACTTAAACTCTGAGTTAGTATGTGCTTGTTATTATTAATTTAAACGTTGTCATTTTGTTTCACGATATCTCAATATTTAATTTCATCACAATATGATTCAATTGAAAGATGATACGTTATCATATTGATCGATAATAGACTTTCGTCTGCAGTTGACTAAAATGAAATTATTCTTTACTCTCATTCTCACAAAATTGAATAAGTTCTTAAATCAGCAAAAGCACCATTGTTTTTTAATATGACCACATATGTTAAAATAAAGTTTGCTACAGCTTTATTTTAAGCCTCATCTCAGCATACATTCACAAAACATGTTGCCGTGTCAAACACATTCAAGCAGTTGATTATTCTTCTTCATGTATTTAGGTGTTCTTATCTACAGCACATAATGATTGAGTTACGGTATAAACACGTGAAACAGTAGCTGCTACTGTTACCGCCCAAAGAATGGTTCCAGGTGCGACCTGCAGAGCTGGAAACGATGAAATATAACCCTTTAATGGTGTCACACACAGATTGTTTGACTGGGGTTTGACCCTGTCATCTATACGACTCTAAAAGGGGAACCACCCATTTCACCATCAAACATCTGCTATTATAAATGTCACCTTCAATCAGCACAAAAGCAGGTATTATTACCTGGCACTCCACGGCCCAGATGTTTTTGAAATAATGTGCACTTAGCGAAAATAGATCCAAGCCCTGTTACAGTGAATATTTGTGCCGTGAAAAAAACGCTTGAACCCGACGCCTAAAAAGAGCTCTGTTGTTTTCGCAGTGATCAAATCTTCAGGATAACCCCGAGTAATGACGAGGAGGTCCAAGTGCTCAAGAACATTCTGGGACACATGAAGGTTGGCACATGTTTTTTTTATATACATGATCACTATTCTGACCTATTGTATGATCCCCATCAGACACCAGATCAGATGTGTTATTGTTGTATTTAAAGTGTGCACGCTATTATTCTGCCCACATTGTATAGTTTCCTGTGTTGTTTTTAACAGTAGTCGCTGTTTTTTGAGGGGGGGGGGGGGGGGGGGGGGGGGGGGGGGGGGGCCGTGACAGAGGGGTCCGGGGACGTCAATAGCCAGAACTAAGAGACATCGAGCAGCCGAGTGCAGTCGTCCGTCACAGTCGGGACATATTCCCTCCTCTGAAAGAGCAACATACTCTTGAGAGGAGAAAGCCCAAGAAAAGAACGGACGGAAAACACTAAAGATTTTTTCATAACGATGACTGAATGTTTGGATCACTTTCAGTAACAAACTATATGAACATGTGTTTTAAAGACATTGAAATTAAGGGGGGGGGACCCTAGAGGACATAAGGGCCTCGCCTCTTTTCCCAGACTCATGTGGGAGCAATTACCCCATCAGCCTCAGGAGCATTGATGACCTTCCTTTGCACATTGTTTAGGTGTACAAATACACAGCGAAGATTATTTGTAGAGCATGAAAAGCACGATGCACTTATAGACATTCTTGTGCAGCAAATAATCAAAGAACTTATTTGAATAATTGATTGAACTAAAAATCTGTGTTTCCAGTATTATTATCTCCCTGCAGAGGAATTGTGTTTATGGAAAACCAAAGCATTTTTTTAAAACATTAGTGTGATGCTATAATCTCAACACACAATTACGAGCTTTTTCAGAGCTTGCGACTGCATCTTACAGTCTGGTTTGTCTTTGATAATCATCTCACACTTTATCTTATGGGTCTGTTTCCAAATAATTACGTCGGACGTTTTCTGGGCAAAACGATGTAATGTGGTACTTATTATAGGGAAAATAGAGGCAAAGCTCTGCGACAGTTTTTTTGTTGGTTTTCTTGAGTTTAAATGTAGTTCATGTTCAGAGCAATTCCCTTGAAATAACTGCTCCATTTAAACACAATGTAATTGAACAGCTAACAGAGTAAATACAATATGAAGAATCCAATGAAAACATTTGAGAGACTTTCTTTTGGGACAGCTGCAGAGATTTCGATCTGCCTGCAGCCCCGTGGCAGTGTGGTCCGTTTCTCCAGTCTGGTTTGGTCCACTTGGGTTTTATCTGTGCAGCCAGATGCCACAGCGACAGTAATGAAAGGCATCTGTTCGGGTTCAGGTCAGGCTTTTGGTTTGAAGGTCCAGAACCAATACTGCTCTAAGCAGTGAAAGAGCAGAAGAGGGCAAAAAAAAGAGGATTTGGTAAATGTTTATGATTTGTGGTGAGGGATACTAGGACAGTGCCAGGGTGCTGGTCAGGACATGGCCACAGTTTTATGTATGTAAGGGCAGCGGGCACGGTGCTCCGAGGCCAACCGAAGCAGTGGCAGCCACTGTTTGGACAGCTGTGGACATGTGTTTTCAGTAGCTTAGCCACGCCGCCATGCCTCCAGTGCCAGAGTCAAACTCTTCAGCCTCAGGATGAGGTCAAATAAAACACAACTACTGGGCACTGCAGGATAGAGGAGAATCAGATCCATCATCAATAGAATAACTCATTTCTTTGAGTTATTATTCAAGCTATTTGTTTGACTATATACTCTGTGGTTGACTGACATTACATTCAACTTATACCTTTAAAGACCTGTGAAGGAGCTTTGCTTTTTCCAAACACCTGGCCATTCCCAAAAAAATCCTTTAGTGCGCAAGAATAAATATTTTTTGGCATTTCTTGAAGATACCTAAATGGTAGAATAGATAATACAGGTTTAAAGTAAAACTCACAGTCGTGGACTCACTGTTTGACTGCAGGTGAATTCTGGGCAGAAGAAACGCAACAGCTCCTGAATGCATCCAGTAGAGCAAATACCTTCACCAAAGCATTGCATTTATAAGATATTTCTACATGTTGGATATTCACAAAAGGATAATAATTACTCCCTGTGGCTGCTGTCATTGTGTCATATTAGTTATTACATTATTTACTGTCTATGGAGCAGCTTCAGCATTTGTCTATTGATGACATCTTCACAGTCTCTCTGTTAGATTAATACAGTAACAATGAAGCTGGAGCCAGCAGCCGGTTAGCTTTAGGTCTGGAAACGAGGGGAACCAACTTCCTGGGGTCTCCGCTGACTGGCAACCTCAAGTTGACGACCGAACTTCAGGAAGTCAGTGCACTCAGACAAGAAATAATCTGGCACATAAACAGATTAAACAAAGAAGCTAGAATGTGTTAATTAGTGAGTTTAAGAGATGCTTTTAGGTGAATTTTGTTACCGTTCTACAGAGTCGGGCTAGCTGCTTCCCCCTGTTTCCAGTCTTTATGCTAAGCTAAGCTAACCAGCTGCTGGCTGTAGTTCATATTCACTGTACACACAATAGTGATACTGATCTTCTCATCAAACTCTCAGCAAGAAAATGAATAAACTTTTTACCCAAAATGTTGTCAAACAGCTGGTATGTTGGTTATAACAGATATTCACTCACAAACTGTTGTACTTTGGAGACTTGTTTTTATTTGAATTGACTAAAGCTACGGCTTTACCGCATCTGCCTTCAGGAAAGCCAGCTTTTTTTTTATTGAACTATAACTTTTTCTTTCTTGTGCTGCCCATGCCCATTAATTGTTACCCTGTATACACAGACACGTAAAAAAAAAGAAGAAGAATCACATTAAGAATGAGGACACAAAAGATTTCTAAAAGCAGACAAAGAATGCATCATGCTCATAAATACAGCTCTTAAATGAACTGAGAGAATTGTTTGTGAGGAGCTGCGTTATCTGATCAGGGATATTTAAGTGCCTTTTAGGCGTATGTGTCTTTGGATTTGTTTGGTTAACAGCGGAGTGAAACATTGGGGTACTTAACCATTTGGAAATGCAGCAGAGAGCGGTTTCTACTCCAGGGCACCAAACAATCCAGCTGAGGATTTTCTACCCCTTCTCTTGCTCGAAACAAAGTTAAATGAGCATTCTGTAAACCATTAAAACAATTGACACATTAACAAGCATGTGTGCCAGTCTGCATGTTTCTGCCCCCATGTTGAAATGAAAGCCAGCTGAGGATGCAGACACACCGAATGTGCGATATATTCTCTTTGCAGTGACTACTGTGTTTGTATCATCCGCATCGCTCGCTGTTATTTTATCGGTTACCAAACGATGTCTTTGTTTATATATGGTTGGCTTGCTGTTTGAGCTAAAGCTAACAGACCCGAGTATCAGTGCCTGATAACAGGCACTGAAAGACCTCATATGAGGTCAAACGGTAGAGAGGGAAGCAGAGGGAGCGTCATTCACTGCAGGTTGTTAATGGGACACATTGGAGAGTGTTTTGCCCCATTAACGCTGTAGAGTCATCAATACGCCCCAGATTTAGTTCATCGCTTGAAGGTAGATACTAGAGGAATGTTAAACTGTCCAGGTCTTAACAAAACAATTTGGTCATCAGCACCAAATGTTTGGTGCCGATTTAAACACCCAGCAGTTGAGATAATAAGGTCATTCTTGGGGTCAGTTCTTTTTCTGAAACATATGCTCTTTAACCCTTAACTTTAGTTTAGGTTTAGTGTTTTAGCCGGATCGGTATCAGTGCCGATACTGGCCCTTGTTAAGTGGAGCAGATATCAGCCAAAATGTAACAGATCCACATTAAATACAGACGTGTCAACGTCATTATTCAGTTTTTCCCACAATCAGTTACATTTAAAGCTGTGACTGAATAAGGTTCCACAGTAATCCCTCGGCTCATGTTACCTCATTGAATGGTTCTTCCCTTGCAGTCTGGTATACATTTCAAATTGGGGGGGGGGAAACAGTGGTGTTTAATTACTCGATTTTGGCAAAAAACCATATTTGACCTAAATTATTTTCATATCAATTAAATGTCAGGCATTTAATTTGCTGGATTACTCAAAAACAGACATATCACAAAGTCTGTAACCCCTGATCTAATATGTTTGTCCTGCTCCTTTAGGTGGACTTCTGGCAGCCCAACAGTGTTTCTCTAATCTGTCAAAATGCAACGGTGGATGTCCATGTGAAGTGCAATGACACGCGGGGCTTACACGCACGCTTAAAGCAACAACATCTTGATTATCGGTAAGACCGAAAAGACCACCAGCAACTAATAGAGAAACATACCACAGTACACGTGCATGCTCGCTTGCGTACCCTCACATATTTGGTAATCTTGTTAGCCGAGTGTCTACACCCAGAGATACATCTGTTATCCAAAGGGCGTTGCAATTACCCGGCTCTCCTCAGCCAGAGTATATGATTTGCACATGCAGAGTCGGCTATACTTTGCATGCAAAAAAGCTTCCTCAAAGCTGGGACACACACACACACACACACACACACACACACACACACACACACTGTACATCAGAGCCCCTCTCCCAATCTGCTCCAAAAGCAGCTCTTTCATCTCCCACACCATCCCTCATCAAAATGATCGTTGAAATGATGGAGTTTTATCAAAGCAGCCGCGGCTAGAAAGAATTCCATTGTCATCTCTGTCCTAAGGGAGGAATTGCAGATCTGAGGATGAGGGGGGTTTTTTTCTACTCTATGTTGATTGACTGAGAAAATGGTTGACACTGCAGGGGACAGTTTTTGGTAAAGTGGTTGGGTTTTGGGGACAAAGATCTAATTTTACTCTTGGGGGTTTAAGCCATGTTTTTTAGTCGTTATTGAAGTAGATATGGATAGAATTGTACATATAAAGACCTCATGAGGAAGCGTATTTTAGGAGAGTCTGGCTGCCCACATTGCTGCTATGAAAAACCGATCTGTTTTAGGTTGGAGTAGGAAGTGAGGAGGCATAGGGTCTGATGACAGCAGTCTATAAAGAGATAATGATGGTGATGATGATGGTTTTGGTGCATTTACAGATCATTTCATTTACTGATAGACAGCAGTGTTATAACTAGTATAATGTGTGCTATTAATAAGACGGATGTAGACAACTGGTTTGGAGCTTGGAAAAGAAGAGGGATGAGTGAGAGAGAGTTGCGTAATTGGTGTTAGGAATGAGTCAACAATACATTCAGGAACCCTGATCCACCACTTCATGCCAGTCCAATTCACTAAAATGCATCGACTGCAGTCAAACAGGGGCTGTAACAAATTATTAAATGGGAATATCTGCTAAATCTGCAGTCATTTTAAATGCTATTTTATGTTTTACAGTAGCTATGTACATAGATTGTTGTATTCAGTTTATAAACTGAATATCACCAGATTTTGGACTTTTAGTTGAACTGAAAGTCCAAAATTATTTAATAGACTAAATGATTAATAAAAAAAATAAATTTGTCTTTTCTGTCTCATTATTGAGCTCTTTAACTAAATATGCATTTTTTTTGAGTATTTATATTGGCTTCAGTCTTACTATTATTTAAGGCTCTTGCACTATTGAAACAGTCATGAATAAATGAATAAACTTGTTAGATAGAACCTTTTTTAATGATGAACCAACACTAACATACACAATGACGTCAGGCCTGATGGCTCATTATAACATCAGGCTCTTATTAGCTTATTGTTGGCTCACTCACTCACTTAAAAAGAAAGATCAAGTTATGCCAGAGGTGGATAAACAGCAGCAACCCTAATAGGCAACCAAAAAGATTTTTAAATAGCTTATTATTGATCTCAAATTATAGTATTTACCAACAATAAACAGTTATTACAAATTATAGTCTTGTGTAATATAACCCTGTTTATGGTACGAATTCTGTACAAGAGCAGAATATTGAAAATACTATTATTAAAACAATATTCTCTGTCTAAGTGTTTTAACGTTATTGGTAAGGATGCCACGGCAGTTGGCTTTCATGTCTATCATGTGTCCGTCTAACTTCCTCTCTTCCATCCGCAGGGTGTTTATCTCCAATCTGCAGAAGGAAATCGAAAAGCAGACGGGATATGGCTCCTCTCGCAAGCGGAGGTCAGAGTCTCAGTATGACTACGAGGTTTACCACTCTCTGGAAGAGGTGTGAAGCCCAGCGTCCACCGGCCTGCCTGTCTCTCGCTCTCCTCTGCTCTCTAATCTGATTCTCACACAGAGTAAACAAAACATCCTCTCGAAGGTGCTCTCAAACTCCCAACTACCCCCATTCCACAGGTCTCTCTCCCACAGCCTCGTGCTCTCACCCACAGAGACACGCAACTCTACTTCAGACACTTCAGGGCGATCAGGCTCCTGGTTCACGAATCTGTCAGGCACCTACCAAGCAGCATGAGAAGATCCCGAGAGCGTACACAAATCTTTAGTGCTCTCGGTTTTGATCCTCTCCTTCGCTGTAAAACACACACTTACATAAGCATGCATGTGTGTGTGCAGACACATCGTGCAGACAAACACACAACCCTGCGCAAATGCACATACTCCACAGGCACTTAGACGTGTATGTCTTAAAAGGTTTTTACTCCGGCTTTGAAATTGCTTGTTAAACCATTCCAATTTGCCCATTTACTGTTTAAACATTCACAACAAATCCTTGAGTGAAGTTCACTCCTCTACGTTATTTTCTGTCCTCAAGATCCAGAGCTGGATGTTTGAGATGAACCGAACCAACTCCGACCTGGTTGACATGTTCTCCATCGGGAAGTCGTACGAGGGGAAGCCACTTTATGTGCTTCAGGTAGGAGAGAAAGCGTGAGACGCACACCTAAGAACAGGACTTACTGTACAAAAGACACACAGTTGTGCGCACACGCACGACCGTGCCACGCTAAAGACTCACAGTGCTTGTCTCCTGCCAGATAGGAAAGAGAAGTCGTCATCAGAAGAAAGCCATGTGGATCGACTGTGGCGTCCATGCCAGAGAGTGGATAGGACCTGCTTTCTGCCAGTGGTTTGTCAAGGAGGTAGTTTTGTTTTTCTGCCAATTTAAATATCTTAAACGCTCTTTGAACTTTATTGTTTGCCTCAATGCATGTTTCAACAGTGTCTCTCGCATCTAAATGATAGCCTGCAGCAAGCAGCTTGTAATGTTTGGTTTCTAGGGTCGTCGACAAAATGTGAACATCTGTTTATTCGTCATGCGAAGTTATGCAAATACTGAAGAATACCCTTTATCGTTCAGATGTTGAACAGAACCCAGACGTGCACACGAGTTCCATCCCGCCCTTAAAGTCTTAGTTACTACCCTCTGAAGTGAGGACGGTACCAGACCAGAGGCAGACATTAACTGCAAGGACCTCTAATGGCTTGTTTTATACTACTTAGATGCCAGATGTGTGGGATTTGCAACACAGTACCAGAGCGTAAAGATAATTAAAGGAAAAGTCAATGAATGTCAGTGTCGAGCACTGAATCACAGTTTTTAAGGAATTCTGTCATGATTGACCTCAACCATACGGGTACTTGAAAAAGGCTTTAACAAATATTTCAACCTCTAGTAACCCAATGAGGTGATGTTGAGGAGAAATAACTTTAACATGTGCCACTATAAAGTAGCGCATGCACATGCGGGAGCGTACCATTTACAAAGAAATGTTTTTTTTTTGTGCTCTACAGTCATTCTGACTGCAGACACTTCCTGAAATGGCCTCCAAACTCCCCTAAGGCCATTACATGGACTTACAAGTTCAGTGGGGAATTCTTCAAAGAAGGATAAAGTAGCAGTAGGAGGGGAGTGAACAAAGGAAGGAAAAGACAAATAGCAGCAGGAAATCAGAAACAGACGTAAAAACAGAGACGAGAAGAAAACAACAACAAGTGAAAACATTTGACTCAGGAAAACAGTCAAAGATGCTCAATTTACCTCAAATATGTGCTCTAAAATGTGGATCCACTATCATGTAGTAACAAAGGTTGGCCACTGGAGGTCAGGGTGCAATCTTTCTTTAAGGCTTAAAGCATATTAACCTTGGCCTGAGTGATCGGAGAGCAGGTGTAAGCAGTATTTGCCCAGATCTCCTCACTCCAATTGTCATCTATAGTCTTGAGTATTAACATGCTGCACTTGTGCATTGAAAAGACTCTGTTAGCAATCATGCATAAGGTTAAAGAATAATGAAGAAATAGCATAGTAATTACATTCAAATGTGTGATTAGACAGCAGTCTAGACCTGTGCTCTGTATTTATACTGTTTTCATGTTATGCATTTCAGGCCATCAACTCATACCCGCATGACTCCGTGATGAGACGACTGCTTAACCAGCTCAACTTCTACATCATGCCTGTCTTCAATGTGGATGGATATCACTTCAGCTGGACCACGGTACTGCAGACCTCTCTACAAACACAACAAGAGACTAAATCCTGCTGTCTACATGTCTGTTTGTGAATGACCAACTGAAGCTGAATGAGTGACAGGTGGATTATTTTGGAGATGGCAGGAGGCTCCATTTGTTCGCTGAGTCTGCAGGTCAGTCGGCACACACGGTGACGGTGTCTTTGTACTTCCTGTAGGATCGGTTCTGGAGGAAAACACGGTCCAAAAATCACAGGTTCCACTGCAGAGGAGTGGACGCGAACAGAAACTGGAAAGTGAAATGGTGTGGTGAGTTCAAGAACGCTGAGCTTCAGCTGACATCTGAGGAAACTCCTCTGATTCACACATGGAGACACTCACAGTGCAGCTTTCCTTGTAGTCTGCTGCGGATGTAGTCTTTCTCTGACTATTTGTCGATGTAAGCTGTGGCTAAAATATTTGTGTGGTGACAACAATCTGTGTCTGATGTCATTTAGTCTGTGGTGGGAGATGGGTGGAGGGTTCTGCTGACTCATCATCTTCACTGTGGGAGGTCTCTCTAGGAATTTATCAGAGACAGACATCCGGGTGATGTGACGCGAGATGAGAAACAGAGAAACTGAGGAACCAAGTTTTGCCGTCTCGAAGGAATATTTGCCATGCAGCACATGAGTGATTGAAAGTTTATACGTATGAAAAGTGGAAATTTAACCTGCTTTCACTTCAAAAGACCATCGTTTATACATCAATAATGGACTACTGGAGAACTGCATAAAACGGGAGATAACTTTCTGAGATAACTTTCAGACTGACTGAAATCCATGCAAATTATTTCACAATTTTGACCACCACATTGTTCCTGCTATTTATAGATATGACTTGTATCTAGAGGACCTTCATATGCAAACATCAATGCAGCCTATATTTGTTTGGGACTGCTATCCGTGGCATTATAATGTGACTTTGGTGATTTCAATCTGGGTCTATTTTCCCCCACAATCACTCTCCATTTCGGTCACTGAATACAAGATCACAACGTCTTTTATACCTAGCTTGAAACTCTAAATGGAATATGATCAAAATGTTTCTTTCCTTTCCCAGAGGAGGGTGCCTCCTCTCATCCCTGTGATGACACCTACTGTGGTCCTTACCCCGAGTCTGAACCTGAAGTCAAGGCCGTCGCCAAGTTCTTGCGCAAGCACAGGAAACGCGTCAAATCATATATATCAATCCACGCTTACGCCCAAATGCTGCTTTACCCCTATTCCTACAAGTACGCCACTATCCCCAACTTCAACTGTGTGGTAAGACATCCATAGCTTGATGATAAACCAATAATTCACAAGTCTTTATTCAAGATAATATTCTTATCCATCCATATGTTGGAGTTACGTAACTGGAGCGCCCTTGATATTAAATCCTACTGTGCAGACATATATAGAGGATCACTAATGAGCTGGCCCTCTGCTTTCACTGTTCAGGAGTCAGCAGCTCACAACGCAGTGACAGCCCTGTACTCTGCCTATGGAGTGAGGTACAGATATGGACCTGCCTCCACCACCCTGTGTGAGTACCGCTGCTTGTCTTCATTGTGGTTTCCTAGAAAACAAAACAGAATGGATTATTTGTCATTTCGCACCTGTTGTGTTGTGCTCTCCTTCCAACCTTTTCTGTGTTTCTTCATTCGCCAACAAGGAAAATAAATCCTCATTCAAGTTTATGAAGTATGGGCTGAAGTGCCCATTTTTTCTATGAATACATAATCGATGTAGTCTTGCACTCAGTGCCCTGAACGCACCCCCTTGAGAGGAGCTAAATGCAGAGATGTAAAACCAATAATAATCAAATGCTTTTAGACTCACCGAAAATGTAATAAATTTGCTGTCAGCAGTGGTGGAAGAATTTTCAAATCATCAAGTTAAGTAGCCAGACTACACTTAGAAGAAAAAGTCTCGCATTCAAAATGTTACTTAAGTGAAAGCACTTCTTCATGCTTATATAACAGAAAACTCTTCTCTTTTTGTGTTTTTCACAGATGTTAGCTCAGGCAGCTCGATAGACTGGGCCTACAGAAACGGGATCCCTTATGCGTTTGCGTTTGAGTTGAGGGATACAGGACACTTCGGCTTCCTCCTGCCCGAGTCCCTGATCAACCCAACCTGCACGGAGACTATGAGGGCGGTGAAAGCCATTGCATCAGGTCTGCTTAAGAAGTGTGAAACAGACAAGGACAGATTTCCATATATATGAGGACACTGTAGGTCCCCGGAGCACCACCTCCACAGTTACACCTCATATTCCTCTGAGATTTCATATTCCTTCCAGATATTATCAGGTGAAGAGCTGAGAAAGACCAGCAAAGCATGAATTTTAATTTGCTTTTCTTGTGTTTGAGGTTGTTCGCCTTATTCTCCTTTTCTGATGAGATATGAACTGACGGTGGCAGGTTTTTCTTTTTGTTTTACCACCAGCCTGTTTATGTACGATAAGATCCCACATACAGTGTCAGAATCAGCGGGCCGTTACATGTACCATGCAAATCCAGCATCTAATCTTGTCCTCCTTCCGCAAAATCTTTACTGCCACAAAAATATTGTTAACGTTGACTTTTCCATGATACAAGCTAAATGGTGGTCATGTGAGCACTTGTCACAATACAGTAGCACTTTTTTTTTTTTTTAAAGAAATAGCTAAGATTTGATTGTCTTCCAAAAATATGTAATTCACATGAAGTGCTTTTAATCACCCGATCTTTATTATTATTCTGGTTGCATTTTATTTTGAAATGAGTCCCACCAAGTGCCAGTACCTTAATGTTAATGTATAAATGCCTTTATTACTGCAACATTGTTAGTGTACATACTGTACATTATGCTATCACCTGACAATCTTGGGTTTGGTTTAAATCAAAATATTTTTGTTAGATTGTTTTTTTATTTGGTTGAGACTGATATTTGGATTGAATGACTTCTCACTTTGGTAGCTTACTATGTCATTACTCAGGTATGGATCAAAGACAAAGTCAGAAATATTTACTTTGGACAACTCATGTGCTTGATATGAGGTTCTAATAAATGGATGAAATCTGACTTAATAAATGTTGTTATATAACACGTTAAATGTTTATGTTGTCATCTCTCTTTGTCAGAGTTGTATCCCATATTTGTATTTTCCACATTTTTTTTCCACATGTTGCGTGACTTTTATTATGATAAACTCACTGACCTGTGATAGCTCAATGAGTCACAGCTTTAAACACAACACTTTAAATTCCACTCTCTGATTCTGCAGCTCTGCACTTATTTATGGATTCAGAAATGGTGGAGCTGACATGCAAGACATCCCAAAGTGAAAGTGAACTCTGCCGCCCACAACTGCCAAATCTGTGTTGTCAAATTGCCAGATTTCCTGTATGTATTCGCTGCCGAACTTTGTTAAATATTGCTCAAGGCCAAAAAAGGTAGTGCAGCCAAACATATATATATATATATATATATATAAATATATAGGTACAGTCATAGATGTGTGACGAATTAAGCGAAGTGATGGTAGGGTTGAACAAAAATATATAGTGATATCTGCTATATAATAACCATAGACAATAACTTAATGTGAGTAATTCATGTTTTATGATCATGCTTAAGTTTTATTTATGATCCTGGAAAAAATATGACTACATCCATGGGTTGGGGTGATATTAAAAAAAAAAACATTGCTCTCATGTGGAAACTAAATACTCGTGAAGAAAATAATTAAATGTTTTTTGATGGGTTTATATCTGTAATGTGTCTAAATGCTGGAGTTAAATATGTCCTTATTTTCAATTATGATCATCTGAGAATAACAAAAAGGCTTATTTCCCTTATTTTCAAATATACCTGTAATGTAGCTGTCAGAAATATCATTAATTGGATGCTCAATTTTCCTGTTTATTCCACATATCCACACAACAACAAAATGCACTTACATCTCAAACATGTAGACTGTATAATGTGCATATATTGTAAGTATGTAAGTGGAAAAGTGGCATGTTTTATTCTACAAAAAAAAGAAGAAATCCTGCACACATTGAAGCTGGCGTGCTTGCATATATTAATGCCTGTTATTTTACATGTAACTTTAATAAGCCCGTGTAGGCGTATGCACGAAAGCTTAGCTGTAAGACTACACTCATGACATCTCTCTCTCTCTCTCTCTCTCTCTCTCTCCCTCCTCCCTCTCTCTCTCCCTGCTGCCTCACTGCGACCGTTCTCAACGTAGGCAACGTGACGTCGCTTCCTCTCTCCAACATGGCGCAGGAGGCAGGTCGTTAATGGAAATCTGAGGGATTTACCCCACCTTCTGTGTTTATTTATGTTTGTCTGTTAGGGGGCTCCGAGGCTGACATTTGTAAAGGAATACATCTCTATTCGAGGCGGCTGCAGCCACCACACCCCCCCCACCCCTCTTTGGGACCAGGCATACCTCGCCCCAAAATTCCGGTGCGACATGTTTGAGGGCAAAAAGACGAAAAACATGTTCCTCACACGAGCTTTGGAAAAGATCCTGGCCGACAAGGAGGTGAAAAAGGCTCACCATTCACAATTGCGCAAAGCCTGCGAGGTGGCACTTGGTAAGTTGTTTTAGCGTGCACATTTTTTTTTTCTCTCCCCGGTCTTGGACTCATTGATTTAGACACGTCATGCACCCTCTCACTTAATAACCGGCGATCCTGCAATGTCGCAGCGTTGTGGCAACACAGTGTGATTACCAGTCGTTAAACGCTGGCTGTTATTGTCTTGTTGTCCGGCGTTATAATTCAGCAAAACCTGCGTATTTAATTGACGTGGCACGGGAATGTGATTCCGTATGAAACACGGAAATGGTGCAGAAGAGGGTGGGTGTTTGCAACACTGAAGCCGATGCTGCGAAACTAGTAGCGATGCGAGACCAGGCCGAGCACTGGACGGGAAACTAAAGTTGTTAACCGCTGCATCCTCCTTCAATATCAAACCAACCAATAACTACAGCTTATACAGCAGCCAAGTGTATGCTCTGCTTATCTAAACGGCTCGATTTGACGTGTTTAACCCCGTAAAGGTGCGAGATGTTTGTGTCTCTTCCTGGTACACGAGACATGCCCGTTGAGTACACGGTGTGTTGGAAGACAGTTTGTCCATTTTATTACATCTTTTATGCATTAAGCAGTTTAATAATCTGAATCTCTGGGTTCTGCTATTTATTGTTATGTTGTGAAACTACACGAGAAGTCGGGACAGTGAAGACGGAAGGTGTCAGCTGTCAGTAGCACCTCTGTGCTAGAACAACGTCAAGCTAGTGCTTATAGTGAGAGATGATTTCCGGTCGGATCTAAAAAAAATAAAATTACAATTGAAATGCACGTGATACTGAGCAAATATGGCAGTAATTTAAAACACTAAAACTGAAAAAAATATATGTATTTGTAAAACAATTAATATAAAATAACAAAGTTTCACTTCATACAGCACGTATATCCGCGCCAGTTGTTGCACGTCGACTGTGCTTTTATTTTGAAGTCAACATCACATAACGTCCGCTTTCAATTGCACTATATGTGGTAGCTTTCTGAAACTATTTGTTAGCAGGTGTATTTTCCAAAACACGTCCTTGGGATGACTATTAATAATAAATGTGTATTTTGTAAATACATTTAGACAAACAGAAATTCACAGAGCAGCTAATATTTTACGTCCAAAATACCATAACCAATGTTGTTTTCACATGCCAGGGATTGTTCATCAGCTCTTGAGTTGGAACAAGCTGGGTTTTGTCCCGCAAAAGGGAAGTAACATGACACTACCAGAGAAACAATGAGTCCATGTTGGGCAGCAGCCAGACATCCAACCTGTCTGACAGTTGCTGCCTTTACCAACTCTTTCAGCTGTTGCCGGGTTTTGAAATGGCCTTGAAGACTAAATACACCGATCGTGTATCGTGTTTGTCGAGGCTTGCTCTGATGTTTTGTAAAACCAACCCACCTACACACAAATCATATATTCCTCCCCCCACTTTGTTTGTAGAGCAACAGAGAAAAAGAGGTTTGAAAGAACGAGCCTCTCTCCAGCATGTGTTTTTAAAGGAAAACACACCATGAAACGCACCAGTGGAGAGTCAGTATTGTCTCTTTAACTGTGAATCAGAGCAGAAAGACTTAAATCGATGATGTCATCGGGTGATACTCTTTGTCGCTGTAAGTGAATTAGCCACCCTATGGGTTTTATTGAAATGTAGGTCGTCCAAATGTGAGTCAGAAAACAACCACGGAAAAAAAAAAACCGCCATGAATGCTGACTGTCATATAGCATCCTAGCAGTTTATGGAGCGGCTCCGGATGACATCACCGCTACAGCCCGTCCCTATGCTGCTGATCAACATTCACCAGCTAACACTGAATTATATTTCAGGGTGTACTCTCCCTTTTTAACACGCAGCATTAGTCACGCAGTTATTGTTGTTTTCGGTCCACTCGGGTCAGAAACCGGGCTGACAACACTCAGGTACAACCCTGAGTGGCAGTACAGTGCAAACATTAAATAGTATAATTTCTCAGCATAGTCCTAGTTGATTCGAACTTCACACTGAGGCTCAGTCATACTCTAAAAAACCTACAAAATGTGGATCTCTGTAACGAGCGTAGCAGTGGCACAGTAGTAGTGCATATCAGAAAACGACTCGGTGACCCAGTATACTGAGTGACTTACATAATCCCCTCCAGCTCTTGGGACTCTGAGACATCTCGGAGAGAGTGCCTGTGCCAGAGTCTCCTCTTTGCTGTCACTGAACGTTCTCCTGTTATTCACTGTGCAAAACCAGGTACAAGTATTGTTTGATTTCTTTTTTTTTTTTTTTTTATTCCTTGTATAACACAAGATGGTAGAGGAATTATGTAGGAATAGGAATTAGGTAAAAGGCTCTGGCTAGGCTGCCTTTGTCAGACAGTCCATCTTCCTCTCTCCCATACTGACCTTTCTCTTGGATTATCAAAACTGTAGCTCAGCACTTTCCCAAAAAGAATACCGTCTCACACCCTCGCACACTCTAAACTGTAGTGGCGTACAGTCCTATTATCTTTGGAGCGCCGTCGGCTTCTTCGGGAGGAGCTGTCTGATTGCGAGGAACAGACGGAGGGTAAAGCCGACCGTTCACTTGAAGATATCAAAGGCCCTCGGACTGTGCCTGCCCATCACCTGACAGAACATGCAGACTTCGGTTCGTTGTCGTCACGCATC